CGCCCCCCACACCCACACCCACACCCACACCCACACCCACACCCACACCCACACCCACACCCACACCCACACCCACACCGAATTTGCGGCATTTCGACTGTTCATTTGGTACAAATAATTCAGGATCATTGAAAAACTCAAATTTACCATTGGAAGGATTATTTTTGGAGACTTATGACAGATCATCAAGAGACTATTGCTGCCTAATGATGCACCTTGGCGAATTAATAAATGTATATCGATGTTTGCCTAATTTAGTCGATTCCATTATTTTCATATTTAGTGATAGTTCGCTTGATGACATCATGAATCAATTCAACGGTGTTCTATCAAATTGTCCAAGATTAAATCAATTCGAATGCTTTATTGAGAGCTACAGAACAATGGAAAATACCGAAAATGCGAACGAAATTAAGAAACGCTATCCTGTATTTCGAGACTGTGGTGTATTTACTCTCCAAAGAGAAAAAAGATACCTACGAGGTATAAAACTACAAAGATAATGATTTTGTATTTTTCTACGCATATGAATCGAAAAAAAATGTAAACTGTAAAAATGAAATAAACTATGCGAATTTTGTATTGAATTCATCGATTTCAAATATGTTCATTCTGAGATTGTCGAGCTCTTTAGAATAAAACCTCACGTGTTCAACATTGAATATAAAACTCTTCAAGAGAATCCGCAATCTGAATTGAGAAGGTTGGAATTCCAGACGCTGCCGAAATCGACTAGTTCATTGTTTCGATCTACGTGACATGGTCAGTAAAACAGGAAACGTTTTTCTAATGAAAGTAATAGCTGTTTCCTCATGTTTTTCTCTATATATTCGATAACGTTAAGTCGAAGAAAATTCTTCGCGCTGCTTTGAAAACATGGCGACGAAAGAGTCTGGTTAGAAAATGTAAACCGGTACATTCGCTATCCGGGCCTTTATCAATTATCAAACAATATCTAAACGTGAACATGAAACATTTTTAATCATAATATCTCCGATTGTCTCAAATCATGAACATTCTTTGATATTTGTTTTCATCTGTCATCGAATTTCAACTCGTGTTTTTCACGAAGAAAAGGAATTTCAGCCAAACACTGCTTAATATCATAGGAATTTATTTTGGGTTACTAAGCTACTTGTCCATTATCATTGATTATGTTTCATTTGTCAATGCGGAACTACACAGATTGTCATAGTCATTATCATATGATAACAGAGAAATTTCTGTTCATCGTTAAGTATTGCTAAAAGAGACACATAATACAACATACAAATCGCCAACAATCTTGAGGGTGTGGGTGTGGGTGTGGGTGTGGGTGTGGGTGGGTGTGGGGGTGTGGGTGTGCCTGTGGATGTCGGTTTGGCTGTTCCTTTTAACCACACCCACCCACACCCACACCCCACTCTGCTACCATTTTAACGATGTGAAAGCTGAAAAAAAATGCGATTGTTAAAACGCCAAAATTCGGACATTTTTGACCGTGTAAAATGCGTTACAAGATAAAACGCAAAACGGTCGTTATAACGCGTCAATTTAACTTTTTGGACTGCTTGAGCACTCACCTACACTTACACCCACATTCACCCACACCTACACACCCACACCCACACCCACACCTACACATCCACATCCACACCCTCACTACTCGATTTCGTTTTTCTTTCAAAAGATTCCTCATTTAATTTTCTACTGAACCGTATAACTTTTGGTGTGAGTGTGAGTGTGAATTTGTCTTCCATTATACCACACACACTCACCCACGTCCACGCGCATATCCACACACATTCACACCCACAGTCTCGCATTCACACCACACACACCCAAGCCCCATACTCACTTCCAAACCGGCACTCACACCAGCTCCCTGAACCCGCATCCCACACTCACATCCATACCCTCAACGCACACTCTCAACCCACACCCTCACATTCACACACACACTTGTCACACCTACACCCGTCGGCACATTGAACCCTGCATTGATTGAATTGTTTCTCATATAAATCATAATAACTTGTTATTTTAAGATTCATTTAACTTTGACAAAACAATCTATTGCTGAAAACAAAAATTTGAGAACAATCATATTGTATTATTTTTTTTTGCAATAAAGATAAGTCGGTCTGTTTTTTGATCATGTCTACTTAGTCAAGAAATAAGAGTAGGTAATAACGCATAATAAGCTCAATCAGCATCATCATCCCATTTCTCACATTCTTTCAATTTTATTTCAACTTGTGGTGAATTGTTTTCATTTTGTTGAATATCGATTATTTTAAATGCTGAATATGGTAGAATTAATACTTCTTCTTCATATTCAAATAATGATATACGTTGGATATCTAATGCCGTCCTTGGATTACGTACATGATATATACATAAAGTACTCAATCGATCATGCGTATCAGTCTTTTTGTTTTTATGAAAAGTTGATGCAACATCTTTTTGTTTTGATGTCGACGAAAATGTTTTAGTTAATATACGTGAACCAACTTTGTATTTTTTTACATCATTCTTAGTAATCAGCATACCACGAAATACTTTTCCAATAAATGATAAAGTTTCGAATTTTGGATGACAAGCAATTATTCCAATATAGTATGTTCGACTAAGATTTTCTTTGGTAGTTAAATTTTCAAGCTGTATTTTAGCTAAATCAATATTTAATGTTGTATAAAAATCTGTTTCAGCTGTATATGCTGTTAATAAGTAAGTTGGATCTTTTTCATTGATTGCTTTGTCAAAATATTCTTTTATAATATTGATACCATCTATATCTTGCAATTCATTTTCAAGATAATTTTTTCTTATATAAGCAATCAATTTATAAAAGTGTCGATCTTTACCATAAGATTCAAATTTTTTAAAATATTCATGTGCTTGATAATCAGCATTGTCTGTTTGAAGAATCCACTCAATGGAGTCACTCACGAAACGCTTCTGATTCATTCGACGGCGAATTAACTGCTTTATTTTAGCGGTTTTTGCTTCATCAAGTGGAGTATTTTGATATTTATTTACTGTTAAATAATTCGCACCTTTTCCAAGTAATAGTTCAACAAGTTTTTCATGTCCTCGATATGCCGCAACATGAAGTGCAGTAGATCCATTTGGTTCCATTCGATTTATTTCTTCCGGTGTCATTGATTTTAGACAATGTTCAACCAAACTGATATCATTTTCTCGACATGCATTATAGAAAGAACTGGTTTCTGATAGATCAGATGATGAACCTATCAAAGAGTATAGACTTTCCCAGTAACTTTAGAAAAATAAATGTTTTGTGCACAAATGCTCTTTGACGTTCATTCTGTTAAAATTCTAATTTTCAAAATTATTCTTGCCGAATCATTAATTATCAATTCATTTGGTTGCAGATCTCGAAAAGCATGTCAGTAGAACCCCATATGAGACAAAAATGTGAATATTACAAACGATCATTCATAGGATGTGAATGAAGGACAAACCTGTTACGAAACGAATTCAAACTACTATGCACTACGCAATAAGTGATTTAGAGTCCGTATAAATCAACAAGCTTATCTGAAAGTGCAACTTTTATGCACAGCGTCTCTGCATAATGGGTTACAGGAATCTCGGCCCACAGAATTTTCGGGCCGGGTCGAAAGCCCGGAAGGAATTTCGGACTATCCTTAAAGCGAACTCATTGACTATTTAAAAGAATCTAATGTAAAAAAAAAGTTACCTGCTGTCCTAGTGCTGAACGAAGCGTTGTAGTGCTGAGTGGGACGACTTAGTGCCGGGCAAAATGATATAATGCTTAGCAATATGCTCAAATCCTATTAGAAGTGGTATGGTTCTTTCGAATACTCGTCAGTCCTTTGGAATAAGTTCAAACTTTCAAAAGCCCAGTGCCCACAGAACCACCGAATGATGATGTGGATGTTGTTGTGGATCTGCGCTTCTATTTACCTACTCACACTCACAGTCATGCGCCCTTCATGCCCTAAAACACTATGCTGTCCTGTTTGGCACTACGTCATTCTGCTCGACACTACAACGCTTCGCTTAGCACTATGATATCAGGCAACTTGTTGTTGAAAAGTAGATTTTTTCAAAAAGTCAATGAGTTCGTTTTAAGAATGGTCCGAAATTTCTTCCAGCTTTTTGGTATGGTCCAAAAATCACCGGACCCTCGAACCGGACCGAAAGTCCGGCCCGAAAATTCCGGTCTGCCGAGTCCTCCCACAAAATTGAGGCTGTGAAATCTTTTTAGACTGGTATCATCTAATCTGGCGGAATTACAGGCATGAAGGGTGTGTGGGTGTGGGTCCTGGTCTAGGGTGTGGGCGTTTCTGAGAAGAGATAATCCACACCCAAACCCTCTTCTAGGGACATCTATTGAACCAATGAACAGATTTCATCGTCATGATAACCAACTGACCTGGTAGCGATCTGAGTTGGTAACCAACTGACTTGGTATCACGAACTACTTATCTAAGCAAATTCCTGTTTGTTAAAATTGTTTTTCGGCGAAATTCACCTTCGGTGAAAATAGACTAAATCATTCAGAATACGACATTAGTTTTGATCAAAACATCATTTTTCTACTGAAATCTGCCAAACACGAGGCGAAAAATCCCAAATTCATGTCATCAAAAAATATTTCTTCGTTTTATTTAACTTTTCCTGAAAATTTGTATGTGTGTTTTGTGTAGTAGGCAATTGGCTACAAGATGCACTATGTTTAAAGTTTCCACTAGATAATTATCGTTTTAAAAGAAGACTTACAACAATAAAAAATTCGTTTAAAGAATGCGGTGTTTCGTTGAAGGAAAATTTTGACTAGATGACCACTCAGGATTTTTATGAGTGTATATGAGTCTCTGTTGAGTTTTAAACTCTCTTTTGAATGAGATGCTGTGCAAATCCAACGAACAAAAAATTATTGAGATATAAGCGAAACAATGAAGCTAATTTTTCCAGTTGTCTACAACCCCGCCTTGTCTTTCAATGCGTGTAACTCCGTCAAATTAGATCACACAAGCCTAAAAATTTTTCCTCAATCCAAGTTTTGATGGTCTCACGAAACCTCTCTTAAGACTTAAAATAGTAAATGAAAGCAAACGTTTTCGGTAGTAATGTTCATCAGTTGGAAAAAGAGTTCTTTTAGGAAAGTAGGTGAATCATTTTTTAGCACAAAAAGTCTGAATATTTCAACTATTACTCGAATCAAATAGGAAAGACAGACAAGAAAAGCCTATAAATACTAGCATACGCACCACTAGTAAAGTCAACATCCTGGACTATGTTCGGACCGTCTTGCTCATTTTGTTTGAACGTATTGGAGAAAGAAAGTGATGATAGGGTAATGGGCGAATAATTTTCTCACACACTGTACATGCCGATCAGAAGTAAAAAACATTAGAGCTGAATTCTAACGTCATAAAAAAAGGTCCTACAGTAACTTGACGAGATTTGAATGGCGTAAAAACAGGGGTGACACTTTATCTTTATCTTACTTTGAAAAAGTAAAGTAATTGAAGGTATGATATTCTGGTTCAAATGTGCAAAATACAGTGAGATCAAGCCAACAAACAATATCTTTTATTTATTAATTAAAAACTCGACATTTTTTAAGTTTAGTTTTGTGTTGGTTTCAGTTATGTATAATAAAATAAGACTGAAACTATTCGATAGTTTGTAGCAGTATAGACGCATGCTACTCAGATGAGAAGCCGACGACAGCTTGAATTAAACCATTTTACTTTACTTTACTTTTAGAGTAAAGTATCCACACTTTACTTTACCCAGTAAAGTCAAGTTGAGTAAATCTACTTGGTAAAGTAAAGATAAAGTGCTACCTCTACGTACGAACATTACTATGTTTGATTCGAATTTCTTAGATTTGAGACAATGCACTCCGTTAAATTTTTATCTAAAATGGGTCATTACTGCATTTGATTATCAGAGATAAAGGCTGAGAAACTTTAGAATAGGAAAAGGACGCATATTCTGAAACAAAAATATTTCAATTAACTATCACGCTATCGTAAAAAAATTTTCATAAAACGATATGGTTGTGGAGCTTTTTCTCAGATTGAAAAAAAAAATAACTCGAATCAATTATTTCGATTGTTTGAGATATTCGATTCTAATAGATGAAGAAAAAAACGAATTGAAACTTAATAGATGTTTCATGAAAAAATTAAAGATTGGTAAAAAATTAGCGTCAGTCGATTTTGGACTTCACTCGCTAGAAATTTCAGATCTTATATACCATAAATGAATCCGAAATTTTACCGTCTAAAAATCCACCTCTGGTCGGCTGCAGATTATCGATCCGAGACATCCTCAAAAATAGTGCTAACAATTTTAGAAAATTTATTAACACATCTTTTAAAGTTTTTCACTTTTCAAATAGGGTCAAATACCAATGAATAGAGCTTGATTTGTTCTACAAAACTGAATATATGCTATTTCTTTACGATACGAATTCAAAATCGGAAAAGTTTAAATACAATATTTTTCACTATATTACAGTTGACCCATTTTTTCAGATTTAGATTTAATGACTATATAGAGGAATTGACCACCGAATAATATTTTATAGTGATTTGTAGCCCATTCAATTCTGCATCGATTCATGTATTTGTCGTTGTTTCAAAACAGTCGAGTAGTGAGAATGTTACAGTTGAACATAGACCGTTTACAGCACATTCCATCTATTTTGAACAAAATACCATATATATATGTTTTGAAGTTTTTCTTAGCAACTACAGAGCTTGACTTGCTTTGCAAAAGCTGTTAGTGCAATCCCTGTGAGATTAAAGTGTGAAACAGGATCTAGATACTGTGTTTACTGCACAGAAAACTGGTCTTTTTCATGACTATTGGGGCATATTTCGCTATCATTAATTATTTTGGAGTGTAGAATTTCAACAAGAAAATACTCCATATAAATCCTAAGTAGATCTTATTTACACATGATCGCTGACCGCTCCTTGAAGTTGTCTGTCACGATCCGTGATGACCATTAATTTATTATATAGTATATCTGATGCGCCTGAACCCTGACTGTGACAGTCAGTGATGCGTCTGGACCCTACCTGTCATGGCCTGTGACGCCTCTGAAGTCGGTCTGTGGCGCCCCTGGAGCCTGTCTGTCACAGCCAGCGATGGTTCTGAACTCTGTCTGTCACATCTGTGACGGCTTTTTAGAAATTTTCCAGGCTGTCTGTCATGTCTGTGGGGGTAATGGGTCCAAAATTGTTATCCTATATATTTCAACACTCCTTTTAGATAGTGTTTCACAAAACTATATTTGTAACATTTCTCTCTGCTCTAGATTTAGAATAAAAAATGGGTTCAGGAGATATATTGAAGTATATCGATGAACATTTTGATATAATTGAATTCGTTCAAAAAATAATAGAAGTTTTATCATATGACACCAACTTTATAGGATATAAATCGCACAAGTACCTGTATTGATTTACATGACAAGCTGATTGAAAATGAAAGGATGGGGGTCGATTTCTACAGAAATCGGCCCAATTGCATTTTAATGATCTGCTAGGGTAGAAACAAAGGAAATGATGGTAGAAAGTATACCTTATGGTTTTCAAATGATTTTGCTAGGTATTTACACGTTCAGGATCCGATTACTCTTCAATTTTCTGTGTATACATAGGGGCATCTTTTGATTGTCAAGTTTTACATATATGTACTTGTTACTTAATTCAAACCAAATGAATTATATATCAGTAGATAGACCGTGAAAAATACTTCAAAATCCTATATGACAATCGTTTATCAAAAGTGTAAAAAAATAATTTCTTGCCGAAATACTTGTTGAGTACCGTTCAATTACTGCGTTGATGTTCAGTATAAACCATCCTATGCGCTGAGTTAGAGTTTCCCCACTATGAATTTTATACCATTCGATAGAGTTTTTCATGGGCTACAAATCCATGTATAATTT